AGCTGTGGTATATTCACACAATGGAATATTACGCTGCATTGAAAAACAAGGAACTCATGCAATATTATTCAAAATGGGAGAGCCTGGAGGACATTATGCTGAGTGAAATAGTTCAGTCTCAAAAGGACAAATATTGCATGGTGCCACTGCTGTAAAATGGAACTGATATCAGGGTGGAGGTAAGACTGAGAAAAACTGGATAAATAGTGTGTCCTGCACTGAAACAGATGAGGGAGTGAATAAAAGTGATGTATGATAGGGTCTTATGGTTATCAGAAGAGTCCACAATTAAGGTTGCATAGTGAATGTACTTGGGTCGGTAGGATGGGTGCGGGGGGATTGTGTACCAGGGAAGGAGTGTTTCTTTTACTTTTGAAGGAGAGGAGCAAACGGGGATGGAGGGGGAGAGGGCTGGGCGGGGAGAGAAGTGCAGCAATGAATGGAAATCCAAAATCTCTGTAAATGTCCATTAAAATTATTTTTTAAAAAATATTTAAAAAAAAAAAAAGAAACCCAGTGTGGGTGGGTATGAATTGAAATTGACTTAAGAGCAGTGGGTTGGATTTGATTTTCTGTTCCCCTTTTTGATGGAGTAGTTGGTTATCTGTTGAGGAGCTAACCAGAAGGTTAATGGTTTGAATTCAACAGTCACTTTGTAGGATTAGGCAGTTCACTCCTAATTTAGTTTTACAACCTCAGAAACGCTGTAGAGCATTGCCTTACGTCAGAATTGATTTAAGTCAGTGAATAGGTGACACAGTGGTCAAGAGTTCAGCTGCAAACCAGAGAGTGATGGTTCAAAACCACTAGCCACTTCACAGGAGAAAGATGTGTCTGGAAGCGCTAGGATAGGTCTGTTCTGTCCTAAAGGATCACTATGAGTCAGAATCAGTATGTGCCAGTGAGTTAGATATTTTGGGTTTTTCCTTAAGATTATCCAGGAGGCTGGGCTCTATGAGGAGAAATGTGGGGTCAAGATTGGTGGACGATCTGTTAATCTGCGTTATGCAGATGACACGATCCTGCTTACTGAAACTGAGGAGGACCTGAAGCACCTGCTGCAGAGGGTCAAGGACTGCAGCCTCCAGTATGGATTGAGGCTCAATGTCAAGAAGAC